GATAGAGCCCGGTGGAACCACTGAGACAATGGCCCCTAGCTGCCCTTCAGGTCTGGAATTGAACCCACACCTGTTTTCAGCCAAACAAAACACAGACATATGAGTTAAACATTTACCTCAAGTAGATACACTCCTTGGAGAGAACAATCAAGGGAGAAAGAAGGGCTGCTTATGCACTGGGTGACAGCTCAGGGGGCAGGAGTGTATGGAGTGATGGACACTGGGAAGAGGTAACTATGGGGAGGAAGTGGGAGGGGAGCTGTTGCATTGTGGTAATTTGTGGTCAGTGACATGAGACAAAGTATATGCGCACTGCTGTATGGAAAGTGAATTTGCTCTGTAAATCTTCACCCAAATCACAATCAAAAAAAAAAAAAAAAAAGTTTGTTTTCACCCTTCATTATTTCACTTAGGCCACTAGAGCAGGATTGACGATATTTTTGCCAGATAGACAAAATTACTAGCACCAAGCTCTTGAATCTCAGTAGGGCTCCACCAACCAGGGAGACTGAATAACCGGTTATCCGAGTTTTTCCAGATACAGCTCTGGTTATTGCGAACGACCTGGGATCCCTACTCCTTAAAACAGAGGCAAAAAAGAGAATCAATATCACTATCTGAGGAAGGCATTTTAAAAAATAAGCAGGAATCGCTTTTGTGTTGTTTAAATGTGTTTTGTTTTTTTTTTTAATTTGAGGAACGAAAACTCCTATGTGGTCACATTTGCCCACAGGAATCCACCAAACAAGATGAAAACGTGCTTTCACAACATACGGTTTTATGGGGGGTTTTCCTCCATTGTTAATTGGAGAAAAACAGACCCTGGGCAAGTTGCTGGAGAAAACGAATCAAGTAGCTTTTTAAAGAGACGTTTTCCATACTTAAGCGAACAAGACCCTGTTTAGGGCTCCTCTACAAACTCTAGCACCTTAAGCAAGTCACTCTCCATGGAGTTAAAGTTTTCTCATCTGCGAAATAAGGAAGTAACAGATGCTGGTGTGTGATTTCTCTCATTCCTTCATCTTGCTTCCCTCAAGGAATAAAGTTGTTTATTATTTTTTGGAAATGGAAATAAAGAGAGCAGGTTAGTCTTGCCTCAAAGACAGGCGTTAGAAGGAGAGGGTTTCTGTAAGGCACAGGAACCGAAAGCCCCCAGCACCTGCACTGCCAGCCACACCCACCACCCTTCCAAGCCGGGAGCACCCACGGTGAAAACAATATGGCGTCGGTACGCAGAATCTCGCCTGCGCCCCCGCGACTCCGCATTGCGGCAGCCCGGTAAAGCTACACCCCATTGGCTGACTGTGATGAAGTCATCGTAGGGGCGGAGGGAGATGGTGGCGCGGGGGCGGGGCTTTGCGGACGCAAGCACGTCGAGATCTTACTGCCCAGAGCGGCGGAGGCTGAGGGCTTGGTCTGCGGTGGCTTCTGTGGCGGCTGTGGGGTCCGCGGCAGGGTGAAGCGGGCTGCAGGTACAGCGCGGCCGGGAGCAGCGTCTAAGGGGCGCAGGAACTCCTTCTAATAATCTTCCTGCTTGTCAAAGGAATCAGAGGAGAATTTAGGTCTCTGGGAGGAGGTGGGCTTCAGCCTCTCTTTGGGTACCACTGTTGTGGACAGAGGAACCGGAGGTTCACTCCCCTTTGGAGGACCTGAATCCCTTCCCCTCTTTAAAAGGGTAGGCCAGAGAACGAAGGTTATTGGGTAGGGAGAAGAATTTGGGGGGCTTTTGAAGGATTTGTCAGTTTGGGGATTACCTTGCTTTTATTCCCCACCCTAGGAGGTAGGTGTACCTGGGCTCTGAGAATTTCTGCTTTCTCACTGGTTAGGCAGGAAACGAAGCAGGTGAATACCGCGTCAGGAGGCGAGGACTGGATGACAGTAATGAGATCCCTAAGGCAGGGTGCAGGGGCCCCTATATTTGGACCCATTAAGCAGAATTGCTACTTCATATAATTCTGTTTTGTAATCCCAAAACCGCTTTGATCGGCTGCATTGGATAGATATGTTCTGGGGAGATCTGTAATCATTAAAGAACGGGGAGGGGGGAAGGGAGGCAACTCATTCGAGGCTGTCATTATTGGTACCTCCTGAACTATGCTTATCAGGAATAATTTTATGTGTTTAAAGGTTGTGGAATCTGCCCTTGTTTTTTGTTTTGCTTTTTTTGGGGGTAGGGTGAGGCTAGTAACAGCTGTTGTAGATGATTCAAGTAGGTTGGTGTTGTTAATTGCCATTGAGTCTGTTCCGACTCATAGAGACCCTGTGTATTTAAATATAGATCATCTTAAGGTCAAACTGCATAATCTCTTGAGACATCTTTGCTTATATTTGAGTGTGTTGTCTGACCGCCTTCCACATCAAATGCACAAAGGTCTTGTGATTCAAATTCCTTAAAATATTTCCCAGTTTTACAGAAGATTAACTCTTCCTTTGATGCGAGTCTCATTTTATCAGTACTGATACGAATGTCCTCATAACACTGTAAATACGGTACATTATGCTGAGTTTAGATACTGTGCAGTCTTGGCTGATTAAGAAGAAATAATTGCTGTTTCAGGACCAGTGATAGCGCCAGTTGTCTTTCTTAATCCGGCAACATTAAGACAACCCTAAAACGGAAATTTCTTGGCTCAGCTTTGAAAACACTTGATAGATGGAAGAATGCAATTAATCTGGAAGGTTGGATCAGAAACAGAAAGCTGCAAGGGTGGAAAGTTTATTCTCTGTGGTTTGATAAAACTGCATTGTCATTACCAATGTATTCCTGTTATGCTTAATTTGAAATTGAATTTAGTAGGCAAGCTGATTTTCTTTCATTCTTTTGTTTTTCTTTTAGATAATGGTTATCCATTTGAATTCCTTAGGGGGAAAAATAGTGTATTTGGAGGCATTTGGGAGATTAAACCCTTTAATGTAGCCATAGCTCTAGAGTAATACTGGGGCTTTGGCTGTTAGTCATTGTCAGTAAAGGGTAGAAAACTAATGACAGCAGAGACATCCTCTGTGAGAGAGTCATCAAGGGCTCTTATGTTTGTTTCCTGCACAAGCAAAAAAAAACATAGTGCAGCGTGAACGCCATTGCCTCGTGATAGTGTGTCCGGGATATTTAAAGAGCTCTTTGGGATTCCCAGTTCCTGTCTTTAATCTGAATACATTCTCATATATTGGGTTGTCTCAAAACATTGTCATTTGATCCTGATGTTGACTGCAGAGGAAGTGACTTCATCTGGCACTCTGTGGAACAGGATTCAGCAACTGCCTTTGCAGTTTCTCCTTCCCCTCTTTCTAAGAGGATGCCAAAGCAGTTTGTTAAAGACCTGTCAGCGTGGGGTGGGAGAAATGAAAATACAAAAACCAAAGAGCCTTGCTGGGGTGGTGTTTGGTCTTGGCCCATCTGAGTCGTGTCATTTTGTCTTTTTGCCTCAGGTGGAGAGAAATCTAGGTCTGTTGACTGGCAATTTCTGCCACCATGGGGGAGCTTTTCCGGAGTGAGGAGATGACTCTGGCTCAGCTTTTTCTACAGTCAGAAGCTGCTTATTGTTGCGTCAGTGAATTAGGAGAACTTGGAAAAGTCCAGTTTCGTGATGTAAGTAGTTGTTTCATTGTGGTAAAAATACATAAGTATTTGCTAAGTTTACATGTTTAATTTGGAGACATTGATTGCATTCATCATGTTGTGCAACCATTGTCACTATCCTTTTCTGAATTATTCTGCCACCTTTAGTAGAAACTCGGTGTCTAAAGGAATGACTCCTCCTGCCCCCTTGTTCCCACCCCTGGTAACCAGTGATAAGCTTTGGTTTCTATGCATTTGCCTATTGCATTTAAGTGGGATCATATATTTGTGACTGACTTATTTCACTCAGCGTAATGTTTTCAGGGTTCATCCACAATGTGACATGTATCAGGACTTCATTTCTCTTTATAGCTGAGTAACATTCAATTGTATGAATATACCACATTTTATTTATCCATTCATCTCTGATGGACATTTAGGTTGTTTCCACCTTTTTGCTATTGTGATTAGTGCTGCAATGAATATTGGTATACAGGTGAATGTTTTATTTTTTATTTGCAAAAATAACATTACAGCACTTACTTGTTATTGGTAGAGCATGCACTTTGAATTGTCTTTCTAATGCTTTGTGTCAATCCTGCCACACTTTTGCCAGCACCCCTTTGAGAACAATCCTTTGTACTCTCAAGGTATTTGTTTGGGATGCAGTAGAGGACATCCAACTAACCTGTTCATAGCTTTCATCTTGTTTTTGGTCTCCTTAACACTTGCCATAGCAGGATAAAAAGAAAAAAAAAAATGCCTTAGCACTGCCTACAATAATTCCAAAATGTAGTAGATGATGAGTAATTGTATACTGAATTTCCATTATTTTGGAGCATTATATTGGGAGAAGGTATCAGAAGAAAATGAATGGTCTAAAATATTATGTTCTATGGGGCTTACGAGTCCTGGTGGAGCAGTGGTTAAAGCATTCAGCTACTAATGAAGAGGTTGGCGGTTCAAACCCACCAGCCGCTGCATGGGAGAAAGATGAGGCAGTCTGCTTCCGTAAAGATTTACAGCCTTGGAAATTCTTTGTCCTAACGGGTTGCTATGAGTCAGAATTGATTTGATGGCAGTGGGTTATGGGGCTTACAGTCTGGTCAAGGCGGCACAATATACATGCTAAAAGAAAGGAGGAGGTTACAATTCAGTAGTCCCTAATTCGGTCATCTCCTCCTATTACATATTCTCAAAGCCCACTGTACCTCTCTTTTGTAGTTCACTATAGTTGTGATTTTACATTCATCAGTGTGAATCATTGATTATAGTCTGTGCTCTATCCCAGGAAGAGGGATGTATCTGTTTTTGTTTATTGTTGTATCCTTAGTGCCTAGCACATATAAGGTAATCAATCGGTATTTGTTGGAATGAATAGATGAATGAAAGGGGAGTGGTCAGAAAGGTGGGAGATTAATTCTGAATTGGTGAACTTTCAGGAAGTTCTCAGTCTGAGCTGAAATGACTTAGTAATAATTCAGTGATGTGGTCTTATTCCTTATCTTCTTTGAACTATTTTAAATCACCTCTCTTCACATGTTCTCTTCCTTGACTGATTTTCTTACCTTTCTGAGGACTCATTATTGTCTTGCACTCGTCTCTTATCTTCCCCACCTTGGTTCTCTCTGGCTAAGTTCCTCGTACGCACATCTTCCTTTATCATCTTTTTGATGATTTCATCTACTCTCAACTTCCATATTTATTCAGTGACTCCCAGATCTGTATCTCTGGCTTGACCTCCCAAACTCTATCACTATTTTTAAAGCTCTTTGAGATTATTGTCACCCAGTAATTCTCTCTAGCTCAGTATGTCTAAATACCAATACTTTACCTTTTCACGAACTGTTTCTTCATCCTGATTTAACATGAGCTAATTCACCAGTATTCTTCCAGTTTTCTGGGCTTGAACTTTAAGTCAAACCTAAGTCTTCCTTGCAATCCTTCATCTGCTCCTGTGGTGTATCTCCTTTTTTTTTTTTTTTTTTTAATTTTTATTGTGATTTGGGTGAAAGTTTACAGAGCATTTTCTCTTGCCATACAGCAGCCCACATGCACTTTGCCTCAAAACATTAACTGCAGTTTCCCACAGTGCAACAGCTCCCCTCCGCACTTCCTACCCATAGTTACCTCTAACCTGTGTCCTTCCTCCGGTGCACTCCTGGCCTCCGAGCTATCTCCCTGTGTATACACAGCCTTTCTATTCTCCCATGATTGATCTCTCCAAGGAGTGTATCTGTCTAATGTAAGTGTTCAGCTCATATGCCTGTCTTTTGTTTGGCTGGCAGCCACAGGAATGGGTTTAATTCCAGACCTGAAGGACAACTAGAGGCCATAGTCTCAGTGGTTCCACTAGCCTCTATCAGACCAGCAAACCTGGTCCCTTTTTAAAAAAAATTTTTTTTAATGATTTCAAGTTTTGTTTCATGTTCTTCTCCCACTCTGTCCAAGATCTCCTACTTAGATTTCCCTCCAAGTAGTTGACAGTGGTAGCTGAGCACTATCTAGTCCTTCTGGTCTCCTAGTCCTATAGGCTGAGGATCACATGGTATACCACTCGTTTGGACTAATTGTTTCCATACATCTTTGGTTTTCTTCATTTTTCTTTGCTCTGGATGAGGAAAGATCCATCATAGCATCTAGATGGCCACTTGCAAGCTTTGAAGATCCCAGTTGCTACTCGTCAAAAGTAGGATGTAGAATAATGTTTTTGTGTAGTATGTTATGCCAATTGAGTTTGATGTTCCCTGTGACCATGGTCCCGAGCCCACAGGTCCAACTACTTGCTCCCCCTGGGTAGCTGGCTGTGGCCAAGAAGTGACTACAACCTTGTCCCTAGTCAGCTCGACTGTATACCTGGGAATTCTTACAGAACATACAAATACACTTGTAGAAACATTGTCTGCCAACCCCATGTATGGTCATGGTCACACTCCCCCCCTGCATAGATATAGGTAACCCTTCAGCCTGTCTACCCATCTATCCACCCCTAGATCAATGTGTGCCTTCACTGATAGCACAGTACTGTATGTACAAAAGAGTTCATCTTTGCTGGCTGTACCTCCCATGCACCTCTCTATGTCTTCCTCTTCCTCGATGTCACCATATTGACCTGTGGTGTCTCTTAACCCCTATTGTATCTAGCCTATTTTCCTTTTACTTATGATGTATTTCAGTCATACAGAAAAGGTACAGCGAATAATAAAAGTAACACCTATATTCCTGCTACCTGCTTAAGAAATAAACATTCTTCATAAAATTGAAGCCTCCCATGTATGCTTCTGCCATGTCGTTCCTCCCCTGCCATAACTTCTAGTGATTTTTGTTTTTATCATTTCCATGTTTTATTTTGTTACATATGTATGTGTTGTTAAATAATAATACAGAGATAGTATAGTTTTGTATGTTTTAAGACTACTATACATACATGGTATACTCTGTGTATTCTTAAGCACTGGATTTTTAAATTCAACATTGTTTCTGAGTATTGATCATGTTGACACAGATAGTTTGAATTCATTCATTTTATTTGCTGTATAGTTATTATAAGAATACACAGTTTATATCTACCAGCTTTTTGTGCTAATGAACATTTAGATTGATTCCAGTTCTTTGTTATTACAGTGTTGCAATGAACATTCTTGTACATGTTTCCTGGTATACTTATGTTATTTTCTCAAAGGTACTGGTTCTGAAACTTTTTGGTCTCAGGACTTACTTACATGCTTAAAAACTATTGAGGATCTTAAGAGCTTTTGTTTATGTGTGTTATAGCTATCAATATTTGCTGTATTAAAAAGTAAAATGGAAAAATGTTCAAAATGTTTATGTATTAAATCATTTTTAAATTACAGTAATCAAGTCGATCCCGACTCATAGTGACCCCATAGGACAGAGTAGTAGAACTATCCTGTAGGGTTTTCAAGGTTGTAAAACTTTACGGAAGCAGACTGTCACATCTTGCTCCACAGAGCAGCTAGTGAATTTGAACTGACAACATTTTGGGTAGCAGCCAAACACTGTAACCACTGTTTCACCTGGGCTCCTATAAACCCACTACATGTTATAAAGGAGCTCTGGTAGTGTAGTGCTTAAGGCATTTAATTGCTAACCATAAGGCTGGCAGTTCAAACCCACCAGCCGCTCCTTGGAAGGAAGATTGGGCAATCTACTTCCATAGAGATACCACCTTGGAAACCCAAGGAGGGGTCACTATGAGTTGGGATTGACTCAACGGCAATGAGTTTGGTTTATATATGTATTTGTTGTTTTTGTTTTATTTATCATATATTTGATATTCATAATTTTTTTTGCATATCATTATTTTCTTTGTCTAAAATTTATATTTTGAAAATTTTCACATCTGATACCCTTGTGTAGAGTCACCAATTATTACCATTTGGCCACTTTGTGGAGAATATATATATATATATATATATATGTACACACACACATATACATATGTATATATATACACATATATGTGTGTGTATATATATATATATTATTTTTCCTGTATCATTAGTAATTTCTGACCATTGTGACATTTCATCCCTAAATATTTTATACTTCAGCACATACCACCTAAGACCAGAGATTTCCCTTCATAACCACAATCCAGTGATCATAGTGAAGAAATTTAACACAGAAATTTAACATACCTAATGCAGCATCATATTCTGTTTTCTCCATTTGTCCCAGTATGCCCTTTATGGCTGTTTGTTTGTCTTTTTTGAGGGAGAAGTAGGGGCTGGGAGAAGGAGTGAGAAAGCATGGAAGTGTCAGTGAAGAACCACTGACAGGGGTAGTGAAGCATGAAGAGAATCCAGTCCATGGCTCACGTTCTGCAGAAATACAGCTTCTGTTTATTTCTTTGGTCTTTCATGACATTGATATTTTGAGTAGCCAGGCCACTTGTTTTGTAGGCCTCTCAATTTGGATTTGTCTAATTATTTCCTCTTAATTCATTTTAGGTTAAACATTTTTGGCAGTAAGACTGTGTATGTGCTATTATGCCCTTCTCAGTATGT